TAAGACTATGAGAACTCTCCTTCCTATAAGTGTAAGGCGTGTCAGTACGTGGGAGAGTGAACTAGGTTGAGATAGAGAAAGACGCTAAGTATGACATTATTATTAGCTGTACAAAAGATAGGTAGTTGACGGTTCGGTGGCCACAAACAAGATAAAAAGCTTGTATGAAGCATTGGAATGTGTTTTGCACAATAGACGCCGTTTTCGCTCCAGGGCCACACGAAAGCGTGTGTATGGTAAGAGACCACAATATCACATAACACATTACTTGAGGTATTCCTGTGTCTGGTGTGTACGTCTTCTAAGATAGAAGAGAAATATTATCATTAGGGGTGTCACGATAAATCGAAATATCGATATATTACTATTGGTAAGCACTTAAAATCAATAAATCGATTGTTAAATCAGTTTCCGATCAATAGTATCGATTTCAGTTAGGAATATCGATAGTTTCGATTTTATTTACCATATCAATAAAATACATGTACTGCTGTTCAAATTTGTTTTTCTTCTGAACATGAGTGGTAGTAATTTACTCATGGTAATGTGGTAGTTTCTTTTTCTGAAATTATTAGGGTAAAGAGAAAACAAATCAGTCATATCTCAAACTTTACTTTTATTTGTTGTTATAGTTATCACATTCAAAGGAAACGTCAGTTACAAGGTTTAATTCAACTCCAAAATCCATCTAAAATGATACACTGAAAATTATCGATATTTATCGCAATCGTTGCTTGCAATATCAATAGTTATTGCAATAGTTTCTTTCAATATCAATAGTTATTGCAATAGTGATTTCCAGACCCAATAGTCACCCCTAATTATCATCATGAAAGCTCAAGGTATACGAACCAGTACTTACACTCAATTCTTATTTATTCGGGGCGGTCGGGTAGTCTAGTGGTCAAAGCGTTCGCTCGTCACGCCGAAGACCCTGGTTCGATTTCCGACATGGGTACAATGTGTGAAGCCCATTTCTGGTGTCCCCAGCTGTGGTTTTGCGGGATTTATTGCTAAAAGCGGCGTAAAACCATACTCTCTCATGTTTATTCCACAACTATACCGCATCCGTGGTCTATTGGAAAAAACCGCTTGTCTCCGCATTGAGGGGAAAACATAGGGACTGGTCCACTCGGAGTAAGCATGCTATATCTGAGTGGGCCGGGATATCCATGTTAAACTGCAAAATGATATTTTAGTGAGATAGTTTTATAAAACCGGTTTACGTTGAGACTTGTACCAGCCACCACACACACACACACACACACACACACACGCACGCACGCACGCACGCACGCACGCACGCACGCACGCACGCACAAACACACACACACACACACACGTGCATGCACGTCGCTATATAAGTGCATTAATCTTGGACGCGACGTTAAACCCCATGTACTCCATCCCGTATCTCTACTCATATATGGGGGCACGGGTGGCCCAGTCGTCCAAGGTGACGCGATTCGCTGTGCAGAGATGTGTCCCTTCAGCACGCCAGAAACCTATGATTGTGGGTTCGAATCCCGGCTCGCTCCGATTATGTTTCTAGGTTTGTCAGCACCATACCCGTGCTCGTGGTTTCACCGAAGTGGTAAACGTCTGAGACCTGCATCACTTCGGGCTTTCCTCCCACATTGAGCTGACACGTCGCGATATAACTGGAATACTGTTAAAAGCGGCTTTGAACCCAACTCACTCACTCTACTCATATATTGACCCATCGCTACTCCCAGCAGCAGCAGCATGTAGAACGCTGTCTGTGATGAGTCAAACAATTGTGAGGGATGAGGAGAACGAAACGCCCTGCTTGGCGGATGTTAAAATGAGATGGATGACACGCGCTTCAATGTAACCTATCTATACATCAGCTTGTGTCTTGCACAATCATGTGTATATTGTGTTTATAAATGTGTCAAAATATTGTAACGAGGACGCACATGTAGACGCAGTCGTGAAGCACTCAAAGTGTCAAATTTCTGATCTTACATATATAGTTTCCCCCTGTGGGTGTAAGCTTGTCATCGCGTGACACACTCTCCGCGTTGATTCACCGACAATATTCCATCTCCTCTCTCCCCTCTTCTCTGCGATCCTCTCTCTCCTCCTCTCTCCTCTCCTCTCTCCATCTACTCTCCCCTCCTCTCTCTCCTTTCTGTCTCTCCTCTCTCTCCTCTCCTTTATACCCACCCCTCTCTCTTCCCTCCTCTCACTACTTCCTCTTCCCCTCTTCTCCCCTCCTCTCACCCTCCTTTCTCCCCTCCCCTCTCCCCACCTATCTCCCTTTAACCCTCTCTCCTCCTCTCTCTACTACTCTCTTCCTCCTCTCCCCTCCTCTCTCTCCCGCCTCTCCCTCCTCACTCTACTTCCTCTACCCCTCTCTCTCCCTCCTCTCCCTCCTCACTCTACTTCCTCTCTCCCGCCTCTCCCTCCTCTCTCACCCTCCTCGCCCCTCCTATCTCTACTTCCTCTACCCCTCTCTCTCCCTCCTCTCCCTCCTCTCAGCTCCTCTCCCCTCCTCTCTCTCCCTCCTCTCCCTCCTCACTCTACTTCCTCTCTCCCGCCTCTCCCTCCTCTCCCCTCCTCTCTCACACTCCTCGCCCCTCATCTCTCTACTTCGTCTACCCCTCTCTCTCCCTCCTTCATCTCCTCTCAGCTCCTCTGCCCTCCTCTCTCTCCCTCCTCTCTCTCCCGCCTCTCCCTCCTCACTCTTCTTCCTCTCTCCTTCCTCTCTCCTTCCTCTCACCCTCCTCTCCCCTCCTCTCTCACCCTCCTCGTCCCTCCTCTGTCTACTTCCTCTACCCCTCTCTCTCCCGCCTCTCCCTCCTCTCCCTCCTCACTCTCCTTCCTCTCTCCCGCCTCTCCCTCCTCTCCCCTCCTCTCTCACCCTCCTCGCCCCTCCTCTGTTTACTTCCTCTACCCCTCTCTCTCCCGCCTCTCCCGCCTCTCCCCTCCTCTCTCACACTCCTCGCCCCTCCTCTCTCTACTTCCTCTACCCCTCTCTCTCCCTCCTCTCCACCTCTCAGCTCCTCTCTCACCCTCCTCGCCCCTCCTCACTCTACTTCCTCTCTCCCGCCTCTCCCTCCTCTCCCCTCCTCTCTCACCCTCCTCGCCCCTCCTCTCTCTTCTTCCTCTACCCCTCTCTCTCCCGCCTCTCCCTCCTCTCCCCTCCTCTCTCACCCTCCTCGCCCCTCCTCTCTCTACTTCCTCTACCCCTCTCTCTCCCTCCTCTCTCTCCTCTCAGCTCCTCTCCCCTCATCTCTCTCCCTCCTCTCTCTCCCTCCTCTCCCTCCTCACTCTACTTCCTCTCTCCCGCCTCTCCCTCCTCTCCCCTCCTCTCTCACACTCCTCGCCCCTCATCTCTCTACTTCGTCTACCCCTCTCTCTCCCTCCTTCATCTCCTCTCAGCTCCTCTGCGCTCCTCTCTCTCCCTCCTCTCTCTCCCGCCTCTCCCTCCTCACTCTTCTTCCTCTCTCCTTTCTCTCTCCCGCCTCTTCCTCCTCTCCCCTCCTCTCTCACCCTCCTCGTCCCTCATCTCTCTACTTCCTCTACCCCTCTCTCTCCCTCCTTCATCTCCTCTCAGCTCCTCTGCCCTCCTCTCTCTCCCTCCTCTCTCTCCCGCCTCTCCCTCCTCGCCCCTCCTCTCTCACCCTCCTCGCCCCTCCTCTGTCTACTTCCTCTACCCCTCTCTCTCCCGCCTCTCCCCTCCTCTCTCACCCTCCTCGCCCCTCCTCTCGCTACTTCCTCTACCCCTCTCTCTCCCTCCTCTCTCTCCTCACTCTACTTCCTCTCTCCCGCCTCTCCCTCCTCTCCCCCCCTCTCTCTCCCTCCTCTCTCCTCCTTCATCTCCACCCTCTCTCCCTCCTCTCTCTCCCTCCTCTCCTTCCCGCCTCTCCCTCCTCTCCCCTCCTCTCTCGACCTGCCCGACCCTCTTCTCTCTACTTCCTCTACCCCTCTCTCTCCCTCCTTCATCTCCTCTCAGCTCCTCTCCCCTCCTCCTCTCTCCCTCCTCTCTCTACTTCCTCTCCCCCCTCTCTCCCTCCTCTCAGCTCCTCTCCCCTCCTCTCTCTTCCTCCTCTCTCTCCCTCCTCTGTCTCCATCCTCTACCCCTCTCTCTCCCTCCTCTCTCTCCCTCTTCTCTCTACCCCTATCTCGCCTTCCTCTCTCCCTTCTCTCTCTCCCTCCTCTCTCTACCCCTATCTCTCCCTCCTCTATCTACCCCTCTCTCTACCCCTATCTCTCCTCCTCTCTCTCCCTCCTCTCTCTCCTTCCTCTCTTTCCCTCTTCTTTCTACCCCTATCTCTCCTCCTCTCTCTCCCTCCTCTCTCTCCTTCCTCTCTTTCCCTCTTCTTTCTACCCCTCTCTCTCCCTCCTCTCTCTCCCTCCTCTCTCTCCCTCCTCTCTCTCCTTCCTCTCTTTCCCTCTTCTTTCTACCCCTATCTCTCCCTCCTCTCTCTCCCTCCTCTCTCTACCCCTATCTCTCTACCCCTTTCTCTCGCTCCTCTCTCTACCCCTATCTCTCCCTCCTCTCTCTCCCTCCTCTCTCTACCCCTATCTCTACCCCTCCTCTCTCTTCCTCCTTCTCCCTCCTCCCTCTTCCTCCTCTCTCTTCCTCCTCTCCCCTCCTCTCTCTTCCTCCTCTCCCCTCCTCTCTCTCCCTCCTCTCTCCCCTCCCCACTATCCCACCTCTTCCCCCTACCTCTCCACTCCCTCCAGTATAAGATCAATCCTTTGTAGAGCTGTTTATAGTTGCCCTATTTTAAACAGCAAACCTGAATGCATTGTATCGAAAACAGGTTATACACACATACCGGGATTCGAGGCTGGAGGAGGCTTTATCTCGATATGAGTCAACCCTCTTTTGAGCGGCACTGAGAAACCTAAAGGCACAGAATAGAAGGTCTCGCTAGAGAATGTTGTTTACGCCTCCTGAGTCGGCTATATTTACCCCCCAAAAAAACAAACAAACAAAAAAAACAAAAACAAAACAAAACAAAAACAACAACAAAAAACAAACAAAAACAAAACACACAAAAAAAACCCCAAAAAACCCCAACTTCAAATAACTAATTTCGAGTCTTGACAAGGCAAACTTCTGATTGATAGCATGAGAAACGATCAATGAAGACATCATTAGACAACGCCTACATTACATTACACGTCACACCGGATGTCACATCCCTTGGTTATCTCTCTCAGAACCTTCTAGAAAAGGTTTTCGGGAAGAGTGAGAGAGTTGGGACTCATTGTTCCTGACCACCCCCGCCCGTCCTCCCCTCTCCCCTTTCAGAACAGGTAGGGTGAATTCTTTTTTTCCCAAGTACACGACGTGAGTTTCCCGCCTTCATCATCTGATGCCCTGGCTGGTGCTCTCGTTGAAAAGCACCGTGGAATAATGAAGGGCGTCCATGTCTGTGCATACCACCATATCGTTACTGTATTTAGACAACGTGCTATGGGATAAGTCCCAGCGTGATTGTGTGTAAGTTCTCGTCTAATTATTTCATACCATCAACATGCATGCCTACTACACAACGACTACCCTTTTAATGTCTCATCGATCTTGCGATCTAATTCCGATCACTCATGGATACGAGCATCTTCCAGAGGCAAGAGTGAGTGAGTATGGTTTTACGCCGCTTTTAGCAATATTCCAGCAATATCACGGCGGGGGACACCAGAAATGGGCTTCACACATTGTACCCATGTCGGGATTCGAACCCGGGTCTTCGGCGTGACGAGCGAACGCTTTAACCACTAGACTACCCGACCGCCCCTTCCAGAGGCAAGAGGGTTAACTGACTTTAAAAGTCCAGTTTCCACCTTTGCCGAACTGGGCCGGAATCCCTGGGCTCGATCGTAGCGCCACCAGTGGTTATTACGAGTTATGTCCCTTCTGAGCCTATGGACCAATCAGATTCCACCGCTTGCACTTGTTTCAAACAAAATGGCGGCGCCCAGTCAGGACAATCTGATCGATAATCAAGATCTTTATTGTGATAAAACGGGTCTTACATCGCGAAGTGCATCAAATCACGCGAACGCCTTGATTAAAAACATGAAAAGGTTTGGAAAATATCTGTTGACAACGAGTTGGCGGTGCACATGCTTTGCAAATCCTGCCATCGATCGTAATCTGCACGACAGTTAACGAACCGGATTTCGATTTCGTTGCGAGATTTTGATTGGACTATGCATAGACTCGTTAGTCCAGTCAAAATGTAACTCCAGAATACTGCCCGATTGTGATCACTTGTCGCAACCTGGATGCGTCACAATTTTGAAGTGTTGTGCACGTACCTCTTTGAGTTTGGATTGGACATCTGCTACAGGAGCACAATGTTCAAGGCTGGTCTTATTTTCATTATGTCTAAGGGGTGGTGTGGTAGCCTTATGGTTAAAGTGTTCGCTAGCTACGCCGAATACATGTGCTCGATTCTCTTCATGTGTACAAGGTACAACATTTCTGGTGTCCCCCAGAATATTGCTGGAATATTGCAAAAAGCGGCGTAAAAACATACTCATTCCTTCCAAATGCCTAAGGGACAGTGAGGTAGCCTGGTGGTTAAAGCGCTCGCCCGTCACGCCGAAGACCCGGGTTCGATTCCCGACCTGGGTACAAGGTACACCATTTTTCTTGTCCCCCAGAATATTGCTGGAATATTGCAAAAAGCGGCGTAAAAAACATGCTCATTCATTGCAAATGCCTAAGGCACGGTGGGGTAGCCTAGTGGTTAAAGTGTTCGCTTGCCACGCCGAAGACCTGTGCTCGATTCCCCGGCATGGGTACAAGGTACACCATTTCTGTTGTCCACCAGAATATTGCTGGAATATTGCAAAAAGCATCATTCCACATGCCTAAATTGAAACCACCGGGCTATTGCCGACTCGACGATGAAGCTATTAAAAATGGGGGGCACGGGTGGCCCAGTCGTCTAAGGCGCCGCGACTCGCTGTGCAGAGTTGCGTCCCTTGGGCACGCCAGTTACCTATGATTGTGGGTTTGAATCCCGGTTCGCCCTGATTATGTTTCTAGGTTTGTCAGCACCATACCCGTGCTCGTGGGTTTCACCGAAGTGGTAAACGTCTGAGACCTGCATCACTTCGGGCTTTCCTCCTACATTAGGCTGACACGCCGTGATGTAACTGGAATACTGTTAAAAGCGGCGTTAAACTCAACTCACTCACACTATTAATAATGTACTGTGTATAATTCACACTTATCTATCTTCCATTCATGCTCTGTATGTAAAGAGGCATTGATGGGCTCGGTGGCATGGGTAAGGTAAATGGATGGAACTAAACTGTCCAGTGAATATAAACTGGAATGCATTGAATAGTCTTCAAGCTTGAGTGAAGACTTTGGTGGCGCCGTGGTTATAAGAATGGCTGTGACAGACAAGAACGGCTATGTTACTAAACATTCGATCCTGTAGGAAGACTCACTTGGTGTTTAATTCTGAGTGAATGGGCGCATTGTCAGGTACTCGTACAGATGGAGTGCAACTCGTGTCAACGAATCAGCGGACCATGCAAACAACTCGTGTGGTCCCCGCAAAGGCCACTGTATCTCAGCATTGACCATTGAGTCCCTGCATAGAACAATGGGTCCCCGTATAGAACACTGGGTCCCATCATAGAACACTGGGTCCCTGCATAGAACACTGGGTCCACGTATAGAACACACTTGGTCCCGGCATAGAACACTGGGTCCCTGCATACAACACTAGGTCCCGGCATAGAACACTGGGTCCATGCATACAACACTGGGTCCCTGCATAGAACTCTGGGTGCCTGCATAGAACACTTGGTCACTGCATAGAACACTGGGTCCCGGCATAGAACACTGGGTCCATGCATACAACACTGGGTCCCTGCATAGAACACTGGGTCCATGCATACAACACTGGGTCCCTGCATAGAACACTGGGTCCATGCATACAACACTGGGTCACTGCATAGAACACTGGGTCCCGGCATAGAACACTGGGTCCATGCATAGAACACTGGATCCCTGCATAGAACACTGGGTCCCTGCATAGAACACTGGGTCCCGGCATAGAACACTTGGTCACTGCATAGAACACTGGATCCCTGCATAGAACACTGGGTCCCTGCATAGAACACTGGGTCCCGGCATAGAACACTTGGTCACTGCATAGAACATTGGGTCCCTGTATACAACACTGGGTCACTGTATAAAACACTGGGTCACTGTATACAACACTGGGTCACTGTATACAACACTGGGTCACTGTATACAACACTGGGTCCACGCATAGAACACAGGGTCCCTGCATAAAACACTGGGTCACTGCAAAGAACACTGGGTCACTGCATAGAACACTGGGTCCATGCATAGAACAGTGGGTCCATGCATAGAACACTGGGTCCATGCATAGAACACTGGGTCCCGGCATAGAACACTGGGTCCCTGCATAGAGCACTTGGTCCCTGCATACAACACTGGGTCCATGCATAGAACACTGGGTCCCTGCATAGAACACTGGGTCCCTGCATAGAGCACTTGGTCCCTGCATACAACACTGGGTCCCTGCATAGAACACTGGGTCCCTGCATAGAACACTTGGTCCATGCATAGAACACTGGATCCCTGCATAGAACACTTGGTCCCTGCATACAACACTGGGTCCATGCATAGAACACTGGGTCCCTGCATAGAACACTTGGTCCCTGCATACAACACTGGGTCCCTGCATAGAACACTGGGTCCCTGCATAGAACACTTGGTCCCTGCATACAACACTGGGTCCCTGCATAGAACACTTGGTCCCTGCATACAACACTGGATCCCTGCATAGAACAGCTGCCAGCTCCTTTGCCCAGCATTCCCTGGTCCAATCCCAGATTCTGCCCTGATTCTCCCCTGATCCTCCCCTGATTCTCCCCTGATTCTCCCCTGATTCTCCCTAGATTCTCCCCTGATTCTCCCCAGATTCTCCCTTGATTCTCCCCAGATTCTCCCCTGATTCTCCCTAGATTCTCCCCTGATTCTCCCCAGATTCTCCCTTGATTCTCCCCAGATTCTCCCCTAATTCTCCCCAGATTCTCCCCTGATTCTCCCCTGATTCTCCCCTGATTCTCCCCAGATTCTTCCCTGATTCTCCCCTGATTCTCCCCAGACTCTCCCCAGATTCTCCCTAGATTCTCCCCTGATTCTCCCCAAATTCTCCCCTGATCCTCCCCTGATTCTCCCCAGATTCTCCCCTGATTCTCCCCTGATTCTCCCCTGATTCTCCCTAGATTCTCCCCTGATTCTCCCTAGATTCTCCCTAGATTCTCCCCTGATCCTCCCCTGATTCTCCCCTGATTCTCCCCTGATTCTCCCCTGATTCTCCCTAGATTCTCCCCTGATCCTCCCCTGATCCCCCCCTGATTCTCCCCTGATTCTCCCTAGATTCTCCCCAGATTCTCCCCAGATTCTCCCCTGATCCTCCCCTGATTCTCCCCAGACTCTCCCCTGATTCTCCCCTGATTCTCCCCTGATTCTCCCCAGATTCTCCCTAGATTCTCCCCTGATTATCCCCAAATTCTCAACTGATTCTCCCCTGATTCTCCCCTGATTCTCCCCTGATTCTCCCCTGATCCTCCCCTGATTCTCCCCAGATTCTCCCCTGATTCTCCCCTGATTCTCCCCTGATTCTCCCCTGATTCTCCCCAGATTCTCCCCTGATTCCCCCCTGATTCTCACCTGATCCTCCCCTGATTCTCCCTAGATTCTCCCCAGACTCTCCCTAGACTCTCCCCAGATTCTCCCCAAATTCTCACCTGATTCTCCCCAGATTCTCCCCTGATTCTCCCCCTGATTATCCCCAGACTCTCCCTAGATTCTCCCCTGATTCTCCCCAGATTCTCCCCAGATTCTCCCCTGATTCTCCCCTGATTATCCCCTGATCCTCCCCTGATTCTCCCTAGATTCTCCCCTGATTCTCCCCAGACTCTCCCCTGATTCTCCCCAGACTCTCCCCAGATTCTCCCCAGACTCTCCCCAGATTCTCCCTAGATTCTCCCCTGATTCTCCCCAGACTCTCCCGAGATTCCTCTAGATTCTCCCCTGATTTTCCCCTGATTCTCCCCTGATTCTCCCCTGATTCTCCCTAGATTCTCCCCTGATTCTCCCCAAATTCTCTCCTGATTCTCCCCTGATTCTCCCCTGATTCTCCCCAGATTCTACCCTGATTCGCCCCTGATCCTCCCCTGATTCTCCCCTGATTCTCCCCAGACTCTCCCCAGATTCTCCCCAGACTCTCCCCAGATTCTCCCTAGATTCTCCCCTGATTCTCCCCAGACTCTCCCGAGATTCCTCTAGATTCTCCCCTGATTTTCCCCTGATTCTCCCCTGATTCTCCCCTGATTCTCCCTAGATTCTCCCCTGATTCTCCCCAAATTCTCCCCTGATTCTCCCCTGATTCTCCCCTGATTCTCCCCAGATTCTACCCTGATTCGCCCCTGATCCTCCCCTGATTCTCCCCTGATTCTCCCCTGATTCTCCCCAGATTCTACCCTGATTCGCCCCTGATCCTCCCCTGATTCTCCCCTGATTCTCCCCTGATTCTCCCTAGATTCTCACCTGATTCTCCCCAAATTCTCCCCTGATTCTCCCCTGATTCTCCCCTGATTCTCCCCAGATTCTACCCTGATTCGCCCCTGATCCTCCCCTGATTCTCCCCTGATTCTCCCCTGATTCTCCCCAGATTCTACCCTGATTCGCCCCTGATCCTCCCCTGATTCTCCCCTGATTCTCCCCTGATTCTCCCTAGATTCTCACCTGATTCTCCCCAAATTCTCCCCTGATTCTCCCCTGATTCTACCCTGATTCTCCCCAGATTCTACCCTGATTCGCCCCTGATCCTCCCCTGATTCTCCCCTGATTCTCCCCAAATTCTCCCCTGATTCTCTCCTGATTCTCCCCGAACACCATGTCTGGGGCGGTCGGGTAGTCTACTGTTTAAAGCATTTGCTCGTCAGGCTTAAGACCCGGGTTCCATGCCCCACATGGGTACAATGCGCGAACACCATGTCTGGGGTTCCCAGTCGTAATAGTGCTGACTATGGCTAAAAGCGGCGTTAAACCATACTCAATAACTCACTCACTCGCTCGCTCACTCCATTTAGCTGAACGTGTGGCACTCAAACCAGGCTCCTTCACGTCTCTTCAGGAGAAACATGTTGCTCCTCTCTTGCCATGCACCCCACATCTAGCGTGGGCTGTTATACAACCCCCCCACCCCCCACCCCCCCAACCCCACCCCCACCCACCCCTAATCAGTGTCAGCGTCTCGCCGTGTCCTTGACACACACCTGTACAAGATGAACCCTCTACTGAGGGCCGATCTCAAGGCTACAGTATTTTTGGATGTTTGAAATGAATAGTGTGTGGGATGTGTGACTCGGGGCCGTGGTATCAACAAAGACCAGCTTGCTGAACCAGCTTGACGAGATTACATAGACACGGTATGATGACGCGACTGAAACGATACGTATATTTCTGCATTTAAGTGCTGAGATGTTCACAGAAACCGTCCAATTAAAGACGCAAGTGCATTTTCTGGCATCATAAAAGGGGCTTTGAAAAACTTTACAGTCGGCTCCAGAATACGGGGTGGGCCTGAGTTAAAGAGCCCCATGAGACGAGCACAGAAGCAGTCGCCTGTCGTGGAGACGAGCTTAACATTGAAAAACATCTTTTAATTTCACGGACCGCCTCCGTGGTCTAGTGGTAAAGCGTCCGCCCGGAGAGCGGAAGGTCCGGGGTTCGATCCCCGGCCGCGTCATACCAAAAGACGTTAACAGATGGTAATTGTTGTTACCCTGTCTGGCGCTAGGCTTTAAGGGGCTAAAACAAGGACTGGTCGGCTCGGAGTCAGTATACTGTTAAACTGTTAAACTGCGACATTGTATCTCAGTGAGCTAGCACTATAAATCAGTCCGGACTAGTACAAGCAGCCACACAAACACATACTAGTGCACGTACATGCACGTCGCTATAAAAGTGCAATTATCTTGGACGCGACGTTAAACCCAATTTCACCTCATCTCACCTCACCTCACCTCGCCTCACCTTTTATTTTCACGCATCCCGAACTTCAATACATCGCTTGAAAATATTTACATTCGACATTGATTTCATCTTCATAGCTGTCTAAGATATCCCCGACACCTGGTGAACAGAAGGGACAAGACAAACGTAAGAGCAACGAAGTAATTTCGGGATAATCGGTTCTGAGGGGTACGTTCCTAGTGAGTGAGTGGGTTAGATTTAACGCCGCTTTTAACAGTATTCCAGTTATATCGCGGCGTGTCAGCTTAATGTGGGAGGAAAGCCCGAAGTGATGCAGGTCTAAGACGTTTACCACGCCGGTGAAACCCACGAGCACGGGTATGGTGCTGACACACCTAGAAATATAATCGGGGCGAACGGGGTTCGAACCAATATTAATAGGTTTTAGATGGGCCCAAGCCTTCAAGAGGAATACCGTATTACCGGAATACCGAGTTGAGGGGGGGGGGGGGGGGGGAGAGAGAGAAGGGGGGGAGGGGGGAGGAGGGGTGTGTGTGTTATTCTATGTAATACCTTTATACTTCTTTTAGGGGCGGTCGGGTAGCCTAGTGGTTAAAGCGTTCGCTCGTCACGCCGAAGACCCGGGTTCGAATCCCGACATGGGTACAATGTGTGAAGCCCATTTGTGGTGTCCCCCGCCGTGATACTGCTGGAATATTGCTAAAAGCGGCGTAAAACCAAACTCACTCACTCACTATGCTTCTTTTGAGAAAATGTAGAAAAACGTGAGTTTACTGATCTCAGATAGAGACAGCATGACTTTTTGCAGGAATGACGTCACAAATTGTCATGACGTCATGAATAGTGGATCAGATCATCTTCATTGGAGTATGAACCTTCACAGAGTGAGGGCTAAACTGTATGAACGTCGGAGCTTGCTGTGTTAAAGATTAAAGGGTCTAAATGATCAGACAGAACGCTTCTTTATGTATTCGTGCTAAGGGTTACCCCAGGAATGTGGAAGTAGTCCGTCAGTGTTTACGTCATTTTAAGAACACGGTCTTGTGGAAAACGTATGACCGCAAATTAAGTCGTTCATACACAAATGAACGTCAATTTCGTGGTTATGTAATGACCTCTCGTCCAATGGAAAAGCCGTATATCTTTTAACTTCAAATTAAAAAAACCCTTTGTACTTGTATCGTCTAGTTCTAACGTCATCCTCCATTGGGGCGTTAGGGTAGCCTAGGGGTTAAAGCGTTCGCTCGTCACGCCGAAGATCCGGGTTGGACTCCCGACACGGGTACAATGTGTGAAGCCCATTTCTGACGTCCCCCGACGTGATATTGCTGGAATATTGCTAAAAGCAGCGTAAAACCAAACTCACTCACTCACTCACTCATCCTCCATTTTGTGTTTCAGGATAATGCAGGATGAAGTCAAGTCATGTGGCGTTTGCCGTCATCATCAGCGTTGGCACCGTCGCACTCATCGTGTTCGACGACATCCTCCGAAACGCCCTTGGAAAGGCCAAGGACGAAATGCGGACAATTCCCATGGAGTTCTCGTTTGACGATTCGCCGCTCAAGTGTAAATACCTCTTCCGTAATAATGACATAGAGATTGAGCGGGCCAGGGTTCGGATGTTAAAGGAAACCCGGATCGGACCAAGTATTGATCATGACGCCTACTCCGTCATGACACAGAACTGTGCGGATTTTAAACAGTACCGGAAGTACATCATGAACGTCACTCCGGAAGAAGAAGAGTTTCCTATAGCCTTCAGTGTGTTGATGTACAGGGACGTGGAACAGTTTGAGCGTCTGTTGCGAGCGGTATACCGACCTCATAACCACTACTGCGTGCACGTTGACAGCAAAGCCTCCACGGCTATGAGGAGGGCAGTTAGCAACATCGCCAACTGCTTTCCGAACATGTTTCTCTCGTCGAGGTCGGTGGACGTGCGGTGGGGGGAGTTCTCGGTGCTGGAACCGGAACTCGTGTGCATCCGGGACCTGCTGAAACACGGCCGGAAGTGGAAGTACTTCATCAATCTGACGGGGCAGGAGTTCCCGTTGAAGACGAACTACCAGCTGGTGAAGATACTCAAAGCATACAATGGAGCTAATGATGTTTCCGCCACAGTCTCGAGGTAGGTCATGTGATACATGGCTACATGAGTGAGTGAGTGAGTGAGTGAGTGAGTGAGTGGGTGGGTTTGGGGTGAGTGAGTGAGTTGGTTGGTAGGTTGGTTTGTTGTTTAACGCCGCACTCAGCAATATTCCAGCTATATAATGGCGGTCTGTAATTAATCGAGTCAGGACCAGACAATCCAGTGATTAATATCATGAGCATCGATCCACGCAATTGGGATCGATGACATGCATCAACCAAGTCAGCGAGCCTGACCACCCGATCTCGTTAGTCGCCTTTTACGACAAGCATAGTCACATTTTACGGCAAGCATGGGTTGCTGAAGACATATTCTACCCCGGAATCTTCACGGGTCGAGTGAGTGAGTGAGTGAGTGAGTGAGTGAGTGAGTGGGTGAGTGAGTGAGGACGAGATACTCAGGAGCTAGATCTTGCTGTGGCATCATTTCATCGCATCATATGCTGTACAATTATAACATCTCGTGTTCAGACCAGCATTCACTCAGGTAATCAAACATCGCTTTGAGCAGTATTGCCGCTATATCACGGCATGTCAGCTTCATGTGGTCGGACAGCCTGAAGTGAGGCAGGTCTTTTGACATTTACCACATCCATGGGTATGATTCTGACAAACCAAGGACCATAATCTGGGCAAATCAGCGAATAGAACCCACCATAAGCTTATCCTTGCAACGCTAAGGGAAGCAACTCTGCTTACCAAATTATGGTTACCCCCGTCCTAGCCCAGTGAGTGAGTGAGTGAGTGAGTGAGTGAGTGAGTGAGAGAGTGAGTGAGTGGGGACGAGATATTTGGAGCTGGATCTTGCTGTGGTATCATTTCATCACGTCAGCAGATATTTACTGAAGTATCCACCGTTCAAAACCATCCATATATTTAAAGAAGGGCAAGTACCAGTGTTAAGTTTTATTGATATTCAAACTTTTGTCTAATGATTGAATATGACAAGTTGTATTTTTTTGTTGATAAAATACTTCAAACTGGGAACCTGGTGAAGACATGAACTGTTATAATTGACAAATGTAGTTAGATGTCCCGCTACTGTTAGAAGCAATCTCATTAAAATCATATCTTAGTTCTCGCTATCGCAAACGACCTTTCATCCGACCAATCAATGCGTCGCTTACCAGATCGTGAAAGTGACAGTCGGAATGTGTTTTCTAATCATGCAACCTCGAAAACTTTAACGTGGGGTTAACGCGGGGTGTTCCGTACGAAAGTTACGGCCAGTACGACTGATCCCGTCAAAATCATCTCTCGCTTCCGTGGGATAAACATTTGAACGGAGGAGGCATTGCACAGTACGTAGGAAACACTGTCATACAACCGCAACCATATGTTAGACATTCCGGAATGTTCGTTTATTGTTTTCAAAATTTTATTCGAGAACTGTGTCAATATATTTTTAAAGCATAGTCTGAAATGGAAGTCGCCAGGTTGAAACGAGTGCTGTAAAGCTCGAGAAAGCTGCTTTCTAATTGGCTTCTTGTTAGTCAATTCAGTGGTCGGTCAAAGTTCGCAAAAGGTCGTTCTGACGTGACCCGTAATGGTATGTCTTAAGATCTTTGTTAAACGGCAGCGAGAACTTAGATATTATTTTGATGAGATTGTATTAGTAGTTAAATGATATAAAAGTACTACTTCAGATAAACGGGGTGTTCTAACGTTTACAGAGGCTGAACGAATTGTACTGTGCCCTTACGCGTCCGAACGTCTACTGGAAGTGTTTTAACGTGTCGGAACATTTGATCGAGCTATAAACGTGTCCTTACGTGTCTATGTGTCCGATGAAGGTGTTGACGGGTCAGAATGAGCCTTATTGGTGTTCTACCATGTCAGTACGGCGTGAGCATCAGGTGTGTGAAGACAGTCATGATCAATCTGTGCCCCTGACACGGAATCACCTGTAGTTGTCAGTTACGGGATACGAGTCATCTCATGACGACGTGGCACGAATCGCATCCCTTGCAGTGTAATGAACATGTTTTGTTTGTTTCTTTTGTTTATTTGTTGTTTAATGCCTCACTCAGCAATATTCCAGCTACATGCCGGCGGTCTGTAAATAATCGAGTCGTTGACATCATAACGAGCATCGATCCACGCATTTGGGATACGATGACATGCTTCAACCAAGTCAGCGAGTCTGACCACCCGATCCCGTTAGTCGCCTCTTACGACAAGCATGGGTTGCTGAAGACCTATTCTACCCTACAGACTGGCATTTGGTGGAGACACGGATCTGATAGATGAATTGTTGAGAAGGGGTGGGATATGTCTGTCTGAATAATATGAGTGTACTATTGCTCGTGTCAAATATACATCTGTGTTGACATGAAAATTAACTCGCCAAGCCTCTAACAGCACCACAATGACACCCCGTTGAATCGTGTCAAGCCTTTATTGAAAACGCCCACAGGTCAACATGCCTTGGTTGCTTGGTTTGTTGTTTAACGCCGCACTCAGCAATATTCCAGCTATATGACGGCGGTCTGTAGATAATCGAGTCTGGATCAGACAATCAAGTGGTTGATATCCCAACCTGCCATCAGTAAAGAGTGGGTTTTGCTATCTTGAAGGCCAACCACTCTGTCAATATGACAGCAATGTGTTCCAAGTACACTCTTCTTCCGGAAACTGCAGACGCTCATCGTCAATGTCATGTACCGCGTAACCTTCGGAGAAACCGGTTTGATGACTGCCATTCACATAAATGCCCTCGTTATAACAGAGTAAGCTTGTCGAACCTCTCACAGTCATTTTTTCCGCCTACAACATACTATATTTGGATCCGAAAAAGTTGGTGTGTGTTAGTGTGTGTGTGTGGTGGCTGGTGGTGGGGTGTGTGGGTGTGGGGTTGGGGGGGGGGGGGGGGGGGGGGGGGGGCACCTATGCAAATATGCAAATAATCGTTGATGGTACCAGTAACTTGCAATGCCGTCAGACATGTCACGTACTGTAAACACGCGTCTCCTGTCAATGCAGTCAAAGCAATGGGTACTGGGTACTCACGTTTTGCATGACGCAGATTTTCCGACTTAACAAATGCGCCAAAGAACTATACATATCGTTCATAATGGCGCATTATGGTCGCAAGGAATGTAAATAAAATATAGAGTTTAGCAGCCTGTGGTTATCTTGTGATGGTGTACTTCGCTTCAGAACTGTCCTATAAATGTTCGCGTCTGTCCAGTACAGTCATTTCTGACCACGACGTATATTGATCTTATAATCATATGATACATCCTCGCGAAATCTGACCCAATTCGAGGTGTTAATATTTCCGTGTGGACGATTTAATTTGAACTTTAGTTGGTTTATTAATTATAACTTTTACTTTAACTCTTTACCAAACTTTAGTACTTCAAACAAAATATGAGAGCAGAAAAATAAATGTCAAATAAGTGACTCCCTCTGACGATCCCTGGTACTAGGGACTGTTCTGCTACTGAATCTCATCACTTCGACAGATGGAGCTTCTATCCAGTGTTGGAAATATGCGCCTTTCCGAAGGCCCGTGGTAGGTAGATCTCGTGTCGGGCTCGTAGTTTCAAATTTGTGTGGGTGCTCATGGTCTGCGTTATTAACCTCTCGATGTATTTGTCACAATAAGCTGCCTTTTTTATAAATCAGGACGTACAGAGTTTAGTCGGGACCCGCAGCTTCTACGTCTATGGGTCTTGAAGGAGCGGTCGAGTGGCCTAGTGGTTAAAGCGTTCGTTCGTTACGCCGAAGACCCGGGTTCTATTCCCCACATTGGAACATTGTGTGAAGCCCGTTCCTGGCGTCCCCCGACGTGATATTGCTGGAATATTGCTAAAAGCGGCGTAAAACCATACTCACTCGCTCACTGTGGGTCCTGATAGCAGCCTGACAATTTATTTTATTTTTAAAACTGCTTACCCGTGGGAGGGTCCACGAACGTATAACAATACAATGGTAACCCGTGTATCGACATGGGCACGGCGGGAGAAGTCTTCACCTGTTGGTAACACCATTGTAACCGGCTGGTCGTACAGTTGATAGTTGATAAAACCAGATATATTTTATTCAATCGTGTGCGAAAGTATATGTCTTACTTGCAGGTGTTCGATACCCAAGGTGTCTGGGCACTACCCCCTGTGCCCGCTATCACGGTGTCTTTGGAGAGTGGGTGGTCATATCCCTACCATACAGGAATAGCTGTCAGTTATAAAGTGTGATACATCATTTCATCAAATGTGTTAAAAAGGCCACGCCCACTAAAATTTTGAGACAAAGTATTTCGCTCAAGGGCCTCAAATCACCTCCGTCATCATCAACGTCGTTGCCGTCGTTTTTTTGTTGACACCGTCTTTAAGATGTCGTTGTTTAAAGGGAAAATCATCATCATCATCATCATCATCATCATCACCTCCATCATCATCAACGTCGTTGCCGTCGTTTTTTATTGACACCGTCTTTAAGATGTTGTTGTATAAAGTGAAAATCATCGTCATCATCATCATCATCATCATCATCATCATCACCTCCATCATCATCAACGTCGTTGCCGTCGTTTTTTATTGACACCGTCTTTAAGATGTTGTTGTATAAAGTGAAAATCATCATCATCATCATCACCACCACCATCATCGTTGTAGTCGCCGTCCACATTGCCAAACTCATCATCCATATTCTCCTCGTCAACGTTATACAGATTTGTTTTGATAAAGCGTAAAAATGCCGTTCTGGTTTCCAGGGTTTTTGAGAATGCATATCGCTGGTGGATAGCTGGCCCCCCTCCTCTCGACATCCGACCGGTGAAGGGCGCCGTGCACATCATCGCCAACCGCCACTTCGTGGACTACGCCGTTCACCACCCGGTGGCTCAAGACCTCCTGCAGTGGGTGAAGAAGACCAAGGTGCCCGATGAGACGTTCTTCGCCACCCTCAACCACAACCCACAGCTCCGGATCCCTGGGTCATATCAGGGTAGGTAGAGGTACTCTGCTGGCAATTTGACCAAAGACTGACTGACTGACTGAGTATGGTTTTACGCCGCTTTTAGCAATATTCCAGCAATATCACGGCGGGGGACACCAGAAATGGGCTTCACACATTGTACCTATGTCGGGAATCGAACCCGGGTCTTCGGCGTGACGAGCGAACGCTTTAACCACTAGGCTACCCGACCGCCCCATTTGACCAAAGAATGCACCCTTACACTTAAACACGCCTTTGTAGATCTTAGACGTTTTCCATCTTGGTGCAGACCCGTAAAGATCCGGGTTTGAACTGGTCTTCAGAAGCCCACTAACTGGATCGGGTGGTCAGGCTCTCTGACTTGGTTGATGCATGTCATGGTATCCCAATTGCGTGGATCGATGCTCATGTTGTCAACCCACGTACTGTCTTGTCCGAACTCGATTATTTACAGACCGTCGTCATAAAGCTGGAATATTGCTGAGTGCGGTTTTAAACAACAAATAAACAAACCTTGTTTGCAGCCGATGACCACGGGTATGACCCTTGGATTCGACAAAGGGACGCAACTCTGCTCAGCTAATTGCGGTTCCTTTGACGACTCTATTTTAAGCCATGAATGTATCACTATATACTGAATTCTTACAGTTACATCCAGGCACTTGATATATTCGTACATTTGATACAATGACAGTGAACTAAACCGTTGATGTTTCATGGGTTAGACACATACGTCACCACGCGCCCCTTGCCGTAACCTGCAAGAAGTCTCGTCCCCTATCGATGAATGCATTCGTCACCACTCGCCCCTTTCCGTAACCTGCAAGAAAACTCGTCCCCTATCGATGAATGCATTCGTCACCACTCGCCCCTTTCCGTAACCTGCAAGAAAACTCGTCCCCTATCGATGAATGCATTCGTCACCACTCGCCCCTTTCCGTAACCTGCAAGAAGACTCGTCCCCTATCGATGAATGCATTCGTCACCACTCGCCCCTTTCCGTAACCTGCAAGAAGACTCGTCCCCTATCGATGAATGCATTCGTCACCACTCGCCCCTTTCCGTAACCTGCAAGAAAACTCGTCCCCTATCGATGAATGCATTCGTCACCACTCGCCCCTTTCCGTAACCTGCAAGAAGACTCGTCCCCTATCGATGAATGCATTCGTCACCACTCGCCCCTTTCCGTAACCTGCAAGAAAACTCGTCCCCTATCGATGAATGCATTCGTCACCACTCGCCCCTTTCCGTAACCTGCAAGAAGACTCGTCCCCTATCGATGAATGCATTCGTCACCACTCGCCCCTTTCCGTAACCTGCAAGAAAACTCGTCCCCTATAGATGAATGCATTCGTCACCACTCGCCCCTTTCCGTAACCTGCAAGAAGACTCGTCCCCTATCGATGAATGCATTCGTCACCACTCGCCCCTTTCCGTAACCTGCAAGAAGACTCGTCCCCTATCGATGAATGCATTCGTCACCACTCGCCCCTTTCCGTAACCTGCAAGAAGACTCGTCCCCTACCGATGAATGCATTCGTCACCACTCGCCCCTTTCCGTAACCTGCAAGAAGACTCGTCCCCTATCGATGAATGCATTCGTCACCACTCGCCCCTTTCCGTAACCTGCAAGAAGACTCGTCCCCTACCGATGAATGCATTCGTCACCACTCGCCCCTTTCCGTAACCTGCAAGAAGACTCGTCCCCTATCGATGAATGCATTCGTCACCACTCGCCCCTTTCCGTAACCTGCAAGAAAACTCGTCCCCTATCGATGAATGCATTCGTCACCACTCGCCCCTTTCCGTAACCTGCAAGAAGACTCGTCCCGCTATCGATGAATGCATTCGTCACCACTCGCCCCTTTCCGTAACCTGCAAGAAGACTCGTCCCGCTATCGATGAATGCATTCGTCACCACTCGCCCCTTTCCGTAACCCGCAAGAAGACTCGTCCCCTACCGATGAATGCATTCGTCACCACTCGCCCCTTTCCGTAACCTGCAAGAAGACTCGTCCCCTATCGATGAATGCATTCGTCACCACTCGCCCCTTTCCGTAACCTGCAAGAAAACTCGTCCCCTATCGATGAATGCATTCGTCACCACTCGCCCCTTTCCGTAACCCGCAAGAAGACTCGTCCCCTACCGATGAATGCATTCGTCACCACTCGCCCCTTTCCGTAACCCGCAAGAAGACTCGTCCCCTACCGATGAATGCATTCGTCACCACTCGCCCCTTTCCGTAACCTGCAAGAAGACTCGTCCCCCTATCGATGAATGTTATGTGCGAAAATACGACAAACCAATCAGAATGCGCGTATGACTTCAAGTTCTTCGTCAAAGAATCCCTCAGGAATAATTTTTAAATTTACATGTCTTGCATATAAAAATATACCCAAGACAAACTTAAATGTGTTCAATCATTCTGTATAATTTCGCATGTCCCGATGTGATTTAAATTGCATGTGAAATATATATAATATATGGGGAAATATATGTGAACCATTACGCAACGAGTTGACAATTGTTTTAGGTATGCCCGTTTGCGCTAAGACGAACCTCAGTCGCAAAAAATGGCCATGAGAGGGGCACGAGTCGCTATTCGGCTTGTCCCGGAATAACACGAGTTGGTCACGAATTGCACAGTATAATTTGAAATTGCATACGAATTACCTCCCTTGCAGGCGAGCCGGAGACTGACCCGATAACGAAGCCGTTCCTGGCGCGGTATAAGGTGTGGGACAAGGGGCTGTTCTTCTTCCTGGACGACTGTCAGGGCAAGTACGTCCACCACATCTGCATCTTCGGCGTGGGGGACCTGCACCGCTTCGTGCAAAGGAAGCACCTGTTCGCCAACAAGTTCCAGTTGGACTTTGAGCCAGTGGTGTTGGATTGTATGGAGGAATGGTACTTCAACATGACGCGCGACGAGAGTCTCGGGAAGTTGGACTTTGATGACCGTTACTATAGAAACCTGGGGTTTGTGAAGAACCAGGTGCCCATGTCTCCGTCAAGCTACAGAGCTGTGCTGTAGCTGCTGAGGCGTTGTCGTGCCCATCCTGTAGTCGGAGTAGTGTTGATGAATACAGACACAGAGCTACAGATAAGCAGCGTATTTACGTAAAATACCCCCCAAAATGTTCAAAACCCAATTACTTTCAATTAAGCTGCGTACAGAAACGCATGCATTCAATGAAAAACCCAAATGTATAAAAACAGCATGCGTAAATACCCAATGAAACGTTTTCAGCAGGCATACAAAGGAGCTAATTTTTGAAACACAAGTACGAGCTAATTTACTTCCGAGTCAAGCCTATATATTTTGACAAATTATATACAACTCAAACATTATTTCTTTTTTTTTAAATCTTAAAATGTTCACTTATTTTGGGAAAAAAACACTATAGTGTTGAATAGATGAGTAAAAAAATATTGGTTACACAATAAAAAATGTAATGACCTTATTACATTGAAACCGTAGTGTAAAAACTAGTGTCAAAACTCAATTGCTCAAAACGTTATCTGGCGCTCTGCAGATTATAGTACTATCAGGCTTGTGAATAGATGGGATCAAGAATATGACGGGGCACAGCATACTGGAATATTGCCGCGAGCATTTTTCGGCATTGCCCCTTGCAGTTCAAAACGCTTGTTTCATCTCTTCTCCGGGTCGGTTAGCGGTGTTTTGTAGGTTAAATCCTGGAGATCAACTTCTTGGATAACTTGATGCTTCAGTAGGTAGCAGGGGCACGACTGGCCCAGTCGTGTGAGACGCCGGATTCTTTGTGCAGAGTTGCGTCCCCCAGGACAAGAAACCCAGGTTCACCCTGAATGTTGGTTAGGACAATCCCGTGATCGTTGGTTTCACCAAAGAGGTATACATTTATGACAATCATCACCTCGGCTTTCCTCCAATTTCAAGCTGAACAGTAGTACACGCCTTGATGTAAGTGAACTAATGTCTAAAGCGCCGTGGATCGCAACTAACCCTGTAGGTAGCTATATATTTACCACATATGTTGATAACACAAGAGTCTTTTTAAACAATGGAGCGTCTTCTTGCTCTAGTCGGATTGCAGTCAAGAACTCAACCCAACAGACACTCAAGTCCTCGTGTATGTAGCGGAATAAGACGGGTAGACCCGAGCGGGCCCGAGTGACAGGATCTACTCAAAGTATCGGATCTGTCTTAGTCTGCATTTGGAACTAAACAGAAATATTGCGGAACAACTTGACATGGGTTTGTGTGATATCCCAGCGTTTGGGGGGTGGAGGTGGGTAGCCTAGTGGTTAAAGCGTTGGCTCGTCACGTCGAAGGCCCGGGTTCGATTGCCCTCATGGGTACAATTTGTGAAGCCAATTTTCCGGTGTCCCCCGCCGTGATATTGCTGGAATATTGCTCAAAGCGGCGTAAAATCCCACTCACTCACTCACACCCGAGCGTTTAGAAGGTACCATTCAGAGAACAGCGATGTCAAAACAAAATATATCTCGCATTAATAAACTATCCTGCATAGTTACTTTTTAAACAGGGACTGTTTCAGTCTGTCAATGAGGACGATATACATATATTTGATATAGGTTATTGAAGTATTTACAGATGTGTGTGGTCTTACATTCAGATTGCACAGAGACAATTCTCCAGTGCTGTGACCCCTTTATTGGGTGACCGCCTACACGGTCTAGTGGTAGAGCGTCCACCCGGAGAGCGGAAGGTCCGGGGTTCGATCCCCGGCCGCGTCATACTAAAAGACGTTAAAAGATGGTACTTGTTGTTACCCTGTCTGGCGCTCAGCATTAAGGGGCTAAAACAAGGACTGGTCGGCTCGGAGTCAGTATACTGTGTCTGAGTGGGGTATTCATGTTAAACTGCGGCATGGTATCTCAGTGAGCTAGCACTATAAATCGGCATCAGTCCGGACTAGTACAAGCAGCCACACAAACACACACACGTACATGCACGTCGCTATATAAGTGCAATAATCTTGGACGCGACGTTAAACCCAATTTCACCTCACCTCACCTTTATGAGGTCGATACTGTATCCAACTGTCCAGCTGTGAGACCCGGGCCAGAATAGGCCCCAGCATGAATTGACCTTCGTCAATGGATTGGATCGAGTAGTCAGGCCCCGCGTCCTGGTTGAGAGCTCATGCTATCAACCACTGGTTTGTCTGATCCAAACTCGATTATTTACATACCAGCTGGAATATTGCTGACTGCGGCAGTAAACAGCTGACTCTTTTCTCGCTTATACAATGTGCAATATATAATCTATGTCCGTATGACGTCACTCCCGTCGTTTCGCCAATACAGTATTTCGCCATAGTTGTAGTGTATGAAATAGGACGTTCTTCCTTATTACAATGACAGCCGATATTCCCAACCATGGCTATTGCTATGTCGTTTTGACAAGTCCCGTAGAACCCACGTCAACGTTTCATTTTTTTTTAAAATGAGGCAATAATTTCATTTTGATGCTTCGAGTCCTAATTATTCATCTTTCCGAGGCAAGATAGTTAACTGACTTTAAAAGTCCAGTTTCCACCCTTGCCGAACTAGGCTGGAATTCCTGGGCTCGATCGTAGCGCCACCAGTGGCTATTACGAGTTATGTCCCTTCTATGCCTCTCCTATGGACCAATCAGATTCCACCTCTCGTATCACTTCCATTTGCTTCAACCCAAACAGCGGCGCCCAGTTAAGGCGATCTGATCGATAATCAAGATCTATATATTGTGATAAAACGAGTCTTTCATCGTGAAGTGCATCAAATCACGAGAACACCTTGATTAAAAACGTGAAAAGACTTAGAAAATATCTGTTGACAACGAGTTAGCGGTGCACATGCTTTGCAAATCCTGCAATCGACCGAAATCTGCATGACAGTTTATGAACCGGATTTCGATTTCGGAACGCGATTTTGATTGGACTATGCATAGACTCGTTAGTCCAGCCAAAATGTAACTCCATAATACCAGTCTAGTTCGGCAAGGGAAGAAACTGGACTTTTACAGCCAGTTTACTCACATGACTCGGGAAGATGTGATTATTTGGTTCGTGGATTTTTGTTCTCAAACCACGAGGGCTGTGGTTGTCAAAACGTATTTTTTCAAAATAAATGTATTATAAATGTTATGTAGTACTGTCGGGAGAAGAGCAATAAATTAATGGGATAGTCCGTCGAAGGAGACTGTCGGTGTGGGAAAACAAGATTACCAGGGTGTCGTTGTACGAAACATCCTTAGCACTACGACTGTCGTAAGTCTATGTTAAGGTATGGGAGTTACGATCACTTTAGTGCTAAGATCGCCTTGTACAACGGCACCCAGGACTTAACGGCCTATCCGCCGAAGGGTTCGGGACTAATGGTCCTTGCTTTCCTATTACGACCTCGCTGAGAGTAATTAATTGTTCTGTTGTACCGAAATTCATTTATAAAGTGGGGCGGTCGGGAAGCCTAGTGGTTAAAGCGTTTGCTCGTCACGCCGAACACCCGGGTTCGATTCCCGACATGGGTAAAATGTGTGAAGCCCATTTCTGGTGTCCCCCGCCGTGATATTGCTGGAATATTGCTAAAAGCGGCGTAAAACCATACTCACTCACTCACTCATTTATAAAGTGTTTAATTTCACCTTTTTAAAAGAAACAATGACGAATCTTCAGTTGCGACACGAAGACGCCATGTTGTTGTCAAACAGACGAAGTCAATGTCTTCGGTGTCGACTGTATTTAGGTGACATGCGTGCAGTGAACTCTGCGGACTGATATTTCAGGAGAACGTTTTCTATGCGTGTTTATAAATATATATATATGCAAAGTGTAGGTGAAACATGCAATTATATTTAACGATGGTGAATGCATGTGAGGCGCTGTGTTGTGATTAGAAAGGCTGTGTGTACTGTTACCTTGACAACGGTGGAGGCCAATCGGTGAGACCTAGCGTAAATAGTCAGCTGCAGTTTGATTGGCTGTGCGTTGAAGCACCAATATGTTTCTGAAACGGATTTGTTTAAATAAAAATTTGTCTATTCTTATTCTGATAGGAAAGAATCTGACTTCTTACAATATTATGTAAGCCCGTAAAACCTAACGGTACCATTCTGATTTGGAATCGTCTGGGATTAACTACCATCCGGATTAACGAACCATGGAATGGGGTGTTTCCTGATTAACTGGGCTACACTGTATGCAACCGGCTCCGTGGTCTAGTGGTAGAACGTCCGCCTGGAGAGCGGAAGGTCCAGGGTTCGATCCCGGGCCGCGTCATACAAAAAGACGTTAAAAGATTGTACTTGTTGTTACCCTGTCTGGCGCTCGGCATTAAGGGGCTAAAACAAGGACTGGTCGGCTCGGAGTCAGTATACTGTGTCTGAGTGGGGTATTCATGTTAAACTGCGGCATGGTATCTCAGTGAGCTAGCAATATAAATCGGCATCAGTCCGGACTAGTACAAGCAGCCACACACACACATACACGTGCATGCACGTCGCTATATAAGTGCAATAATGTTGGACGCGACGTTAAACCCAATTTCACCTCACCTACACTGTATGCAGTGCCAACACGTAGGACATTTACCCATCACTCTGGCTTCCCGTGGCCCATGAAGCCGTTTGAAAATGACTTGTTGTGTCATCTGTTGATGTCTTTACGAAGCCGCCAGTGTTTTAAACAAACTGAAGAGTTGTTGTTTTGCGTCTTTGATTGAATGCTACCAAAGCGAACAGTCAATGTTATACTCTATGGCCAGTAACATTGCTATAACACCATCACATATAACATATACTCCCTGTATCTATTTGATACTGATGTTATAAGATATGCCCTCAATCTGTTAGATACTGATGTTATGGGATATGCCCTGTATCTGTTAGATACTGATGTTATGGGATATGCCCTGTATCTGTTAGATACTGATATTATAGGATATGCCCTGTATCTGTTAGATACTGATGTTATAGGATATTCCCTGTATCTGTTAGATACTGATGTTATGGGATATGCCCTGTATCTGTTAGATACTGATATTATAGGATATGCCCTGTATCTGTTAGATACTGATGTTATAGGATATTCCCCGTATCTGTTAGATAATGATGTTATAACAGATATGCATGTGCGTATCTATTGGA